TTAAAACATAAGAAAATGTTATGTGCTGAAAGATATTGAAACGAGAAGGGTTAATACCAAAAACCCATGGGAAGAATTGAGAATTTAATTCACACATAAACGACTTGAACTGTATGTTAAGCAGTTTGAATAATGGAAAAGTGACCCAATCTTTGGGGGCAATGTTGATTGACACACAGCTACAAATGCAAGCTGTAATGCGAAAACTTCATTTTCGTAAACAACGAATTTGGAGTTGATTCTCCTGGTCAAAAGTGATTCGAGACAGGGGTAGGTGAATAAGCCACCCACGCTCACTGAGGAAGTTCAGTGAGAAGTAAATATATGAGAGATTGGGAGAAGGGAATTCCCCAAAATTATGACGATAAATACGAATGCGCGAAGCGAATTCGCCCGTAGGAGACGAGTCGAAGCAGAAACGATATGGCAGTGAGTTCGTCCTAGCAACCGGAGTAATACACCCCACGTGATTGCTTGCCAAAAAGAAGCCTGCGACTTCAGCCTTGTGCCAAACTTTACCAACAAGAGCAAAGCAGATTTTTGCCATGTCAGCGATAGTATCACTTCTGGTTTAGACGCGAGTTGGGCTAATAATTAATTACATGCGAACTCTGATATAAGCAATTATTGTACGGAGAACTGATATAAAAACTGTATTTACTTTTTGTTCTATTTATTCGAGTGTTATTTTTCCCGGTACGTCATCGCCCTGCTTGGATCAGCCCAAACCGAAGATCACCGCGGAGATTAGATCTTAGCTGCCTTATGATAAAACTTAAATCACAACGTGCGATAAGCTTAGCTCGCGATTCAAGCGGTTACTTCAGCGACCAGCCGCTGTATTGGAAGTCTTGGACGACCGACTAGGGTTTTGCACGATTACAACCAACATACCTTGTGTTGATTTGTGGTTTGTATGTTGTTTCAAACATTTTCTTTTCAATATGTGCCATGTGAATTGTTAGAAAAGCCAAGACATAAAAATATAAAGCCAACAAATACGAACATATGATGGACCTGCATTGGTACAACCATTTTCACCCTCTCTTTATACACAGAAATAAAACAGGCCATGACTTCGATTTAATAAATGCCACCTTAATTAGAAAGGAACATAATTTATTACGTAGAAAATACTTAAAAGGAATCCTGATAAATATATTACCACACGTCAATCACATTTATATCACCAACTTTTATAAAATCTGTACTTGAAGGATCTAAGATCTGTCTAAATCAGCCATAACCGGTGCAACCTAAATTCTTTCACTCTCACACAAAGCATCCCCCAATCAATATATGAACACGACCAAACACAAATAAAAATGACCACTAGACGCTCAAACACACATACGGACAAACTCGCACTGATCTTTTCAACGAAATCCAGCATATTTCAACTAGAATTGTGATACAGAAACACACAAAAATGATACATCCGAACGTGGCCTCACAACGCGAGTCCTGCTTAACCAACGGAAGCAAACAAAACAAAAATACCAGAATCCTCTATTCTATTTTATGATGAAGGTTAATTAAAAGTGAAACATGTTAAATTTATAAATGTTTTTATTTGTTTCATCATCCTATCATTCTGTAGGATTTTAATCTATATTCGATCCATATTTTATCCCAATAAAAATAAACTAAAGACTAATCCCTCAGCTGTCAATGTGCGGCATACTAAGTTCGGGCGAGTTGTCCTGGACAGCAATAACTAGAGATATTTCTGCCAGAGTTGTATCAAAAATTTCGAAATCAGTTGTATTGACCGGCTAACAACGGCGAAAAGTGACAGGAAATATTTCTCTTGCTATGACCTGAGATTCTCTCTGCTGCACAATATGTGGACTTGTATGCAGGTCACTAGAGGAACTGAAGTATCATATACAACACAAATATAACAACTGAAGAGGTTGTCCGACCCTCATACATCGAAATATATATTAAAAATAATTTTAAAAATTAAAGTAAATAAAATAATTGAGAAATCAGTGATAATGTATAGAGGTACTTAACGTAGTATATACTAGATCCTTTTGACTATCACACAGCTTGTAAATTTCAACCATGGAAGTCAGCGTTTTAATGAGTTGAAACATAATCCACTTTTGTGATATTAAATTTATCCGGTGAATTTGAATTTAGCGTAGGTCACATTCGATTGGTTACATACGGCAAAGTCTATTTTTTAAAAGTATTCTGCTTTTGAAATCACTATGTTTCACTGCCCAGTAGTTTAACATCGCTTAAAGAGACACGATAAATTCCCTATGTATATAGGTGTGTGGATTGAGTACGTTCGGTGTAATTTTTAGTTCGTTTATGTGTATTTTCCGAAAGTTGTCACAAATCCTGTCATTACCTCAGAGATGTCAAGAGATGCCAAGAGATGTCAGATGAAAAAGCGTAATAAACATTTGAAAATGGAACCTCAGTAAGATCTTTTCTAATGGCACAAAAGCAATATACCAAAGTATAAAGTGCGTTGCATTTTGAATGTAATTAATATATCACACTCACAAAGTTGTGGATCATCATTTAGTAAATAGATAAGAATTTACTGAAAAAATATATATATAAAAGATTGTACGCCCTCATTTCGGGAATAAAGAAATCAAAAACGGATAAATAAATTGGGAAAATATAGAAACAAGTGTAAAAATAAAAATAGATATTAATCCCTTTCCAAAAGAAACGTGTAGTTGAAACAAGCTGGAAATAAAATATTTCTAAATGTTTCCTTTCATTTTGAATTCCAGTTACCTCCAGTCCTGTCGTTTCATCCAAGTCTTACGTCGAATGACAACCTAATGTGTACTTTGAAAAGATTTTGCAAAATCTATTGTAACGAATGAGGAAGCATTCGTAAATCAAAATTTCAAATATCTAAAAAGGAAGGTGCAAGATATGCTGCCAGAAAAAGTCTATAATCAATACTTAACAGACATTTTGATTTTTATCAAAAACCACCGTTGCTCGTAAAATGGCTTCTCTTTTTTTTTCAACTTTGTGTGTAAAATCTATTTTGAGTATGACTTATTTTAAACACGGAACCGACAGGAAAACTTTGTATAAATGTTCAACTTAAAGAGAACAGTTTAAATGAGAGATCAGTAAAAAGAACGTGAGAAAAATGACAAAATAGGGGCAAAGGATGATAAGTGCATTTATAAATCTAGAGGAAAAGAATGAATGAGGTGAGGCGAGGAAGAATGAAGATTAAAAAAAAACAAGATTAACGAATTGGAAAGAGAGAAAAGGGAGAAACGAATAAGAATATGGAGAAGAGAATGAAAGAAAGAAGAGAAAAATGGATTGAGAAAGAAAGAAAGAAAGAAAGAAAGAAAACATTGAAATAGGAAAGGAAGGAAAGAAGGAAGAAAGGAAGGAAAGAACGAATGAACGAAAAGACGATAAAAGAATGAAAGAAAGAAAAAAATAAAGAAGTGAAATATTAATAGAAAGAAAGAAAGAAAGAAAGAAAGAAAGAAAGAAAGAAAAAAAACATTAAGTTAGGAATGGAAGGAAAGAAGGAAGGAATGAAGGAAAGAACGAACGAACGAAAAGGCGATAAAAGAAAGAAAGAAAGAAAGAAAGAAAGAAAGAAGAAAGGAAGAAAGAAAAAATAAAGAAGGGAAATATTAATAGAAAGAAAGAAAGAAAGAAAGAAAGAAAGAAAGAAAGAAAGAAAGAAAGAAAGAAAAAAGAAGAAAGAAGAAAGAATGGAAATATTAATAGAAAGAAAGAAAGAAAACATTAAAATAGGAAAGGAAGGAAAAGAAGAAAGGAAGGGAGGAACGAACGAACGAACGAACGCACGAACAAAAAGGCGATAAAAGAAAGAAAGAAAGAAAGAAAGAAAGAAAGAAAGAAAGAAAGAAAAGAAAGAAACAAAGAAAACATTAAATTGGGAAAGGAAGGAAGGAACGAACGAATGAACGGAAAGGCGATAAAAGAAAGAAAGAAAGAAAGAAAGAAAGAAAGAAAGAAAGAAAGAAAGAAAGAAAGAAAGAAAGAAAGAAAGAAAACATTAAAATAAGGAAGGAAGGAAGGGAGGAATGAACGGAAAGGCGATAAAAGAAAGAAAGAAAGGAAGAAAGAAGAAAGAAGAAAGAAAAAAGAAAGAAGGGAAATATTAATAGAAAGAAAGAAAGAAAACATTAAAATAGGAAAGGAAGGAAAGAAGAAAGGAAGGAACGAACGAACGAACAAACGAACGAACGAAAAGGCGATAAAAGAAAGAAAGAAAGAAAGAAAGAAAGAAAACATTAAAATAGGGAAGGAAGGAAGGAACAAACGAATGAACGAAAAGGCGATAAAAGAAAGAAAGAAAGAAAGAAAGAAAGAAAGAAAGAAAGAAAGAAAACATTAAATTGGAAAAGGAAGGAAAAAAGGAAGTAAGAAATGAAGGAAGGAAAGAACGAATGAACTGAAAGGCGATAAAAGAAAGAAAGAAAGTAAACATTAAATTGGGAATAGAAGGAAGGAAGGAAGGAAGGAAGGAAGGAAGGAAGGAAGGAAGGAAGGAAGGAAGGAAGGAAGGTAAGAACGAATGAACGGAAAGGAGGTAAAAGAAAGAAAGAAAGAAAGAAAGAAAGAAATAAAGAAAGAAAGAAAGAAAGAAAGAAAACATTAAAATGGGAAAGGAAGGAAAGAAGGAACGAACGAACGAGCGAAAAGGCGATAAAAGAAAGAAAGAAAGAAAGAAAGAAAGAAAGAAAGAAAGAAAGAAAGAAAGATAAAGTTAAAATAGTGAAGAATTGAGGCGAGGGAGCATTATAAGAAATGAAGGAAGGAAAGAAGGTAGGAATTAATGCAACAAGGCCTAAAAGAAAGGAAAAAACAAAGAAAAGGAAAGAAGCTGAAGGAAGATTAGGAAAGGAGAAAGAAAGTAAAGAATGGAAAGAAGAAAAGAAAGGAAAGATTAATATTAGTGAAGGAAGCTAGGGAAAATATAAAATACAGAGAAAAGTAATTGAACATTATATTTAGGAAGATTAAAAAGAAAGTATAAAACGACAAAGGAACGAAATAAAGAACGACGGAACTAAGGAAGGGAAATTCAAATGAAGAAGAAAAACAAGAAAGGGAGAGCAAGAAGAAGGGAGGGCGTTAAAATAAGAAAGAAAGAAAGAAAGAAAGAAAGAAAGAAAGAAAGAATAAAAAGAAAGAATAAAAAGAAAGAAAAAATAAAATGAATCCTTAAAGCAGCCGAGAAGAAGAAATAAACCAGAAAGGAATGAAATTGAAATGACAAAAAAAATGAAAAGGGAAACGTCTATGGAGACATGACGCGCCACTGGGGTCTGGGATAATGGCCACCTACGTAGTCTGGGTGTCTTGTGGTGTGTTGCCAAGTTAAACTTAGTAAATAAAATCCATGAAGGAAAAAAATGCAAAAGATGGAAAGCAAAAAAAAAGAAAAAAAAGAAAAAGGGAAATCAATGTCAAGAAAAGATAAATCTCAAATAAAATACCAAAAATGATCACAGATAAACGTGATTTACACAGGAAAGATATTCATTTAATTTGTAAGTTCTCTAGTGCAAATAAAAGAAAATAACTGCATGTAGATAATACGATTCCAATGAATGTACAAACTCAGAAAGAATGGTAAGACAAATGTGCGTTTTTAACTTACCAGATTGCTTGACACTTTCTTAACAATATCAAATCTACATATTATACAGTGTTGATAGCAAAGAAAATTACAGGAAGTCGACAAAATTATAAAAAAAAAAAAAAAAAAAATTTTTATTAATCAGTATCATCCCAAGCAAGGCTCTACTGCTTTGTTTGGGGGTGATACTGATAAACACTAATACGCAAAGTGCTACAGGTTGTGGAGTAATTAGAAACAGAAACAGCAGTAATGTGTAGAAAGAGTAAAAAGCAATCAGTGGGACAGTAGATAGCGATTGACATTGCATTTTTCAATTTCTGAAGATTAAAGCATGGGGCCGAAAGTTTCCCAAGCGAGAAATAAGAGAAAAGAAACTGTTAGGCATTTTGAAGTTACAGCGACATCTTTTATAATAAAAACACCAGCAATACATTAAACAAAAAAATGATTATAAAGAGTGCTGAACTGCTTTGTAATATAAATCCACCTCTATGACAGTAAATGCCGGGCAATCCAAACATGAACAGGAGTTCTGGCGTGACAGTTTGTTGTTTGATTGTTTTAGTTTAGCAGCATATCAACACCTCTATGGGTCATTTAATACCTGAATGTGAATATTTTGTATGCAATTTTATTTATTTTATTTTATCTATACTTTTGGAGATAATAATATTTTTAGTGATACGTGTCTTACTAATTAACCCATAGCTGAGAGGAGAAGAAGTGGATTAATACCTTCTCCAAGGTTATTAGCTCGTAGATGAATATAACGAAATGAAATTTGAACTCGGCTCGATGAAATTTGAACTCGGCTCGATGAAATTTGAACTCGGCTCTCAAATTAATAATTCCGAATCATTATCCATTACATTGTCGGTACATCCAAACTAACAGCACCTGGTATACCCAAGCGATCACTCATCTAGGTACATTGCTTAACTTCGGTGAATAATCGGAAACTGGTGTTTCAAATTGAAGCAACAGAGATGTTGTCTTATGGTAGAATGCTAAGAATGTCATGAACAGAGCATGTAAGCAACAAAGAAGTTTTCAGGATAAATAGGAATATAAAGGTCACGATTAGACTCAAAAAGGTGGTTTGCTTTGGTTTGTTTTACGGTATATCAACCTCAATGGGTTACTTAATGCCGACAAGATTTTATTGCTGGTCATATTTTTTCCCAGAATGTATTGCTGGTAATAATTTTTCCAAAGAAGTATTATTAGTATTAAAATCTATTTTTATACGTTCATAGTGTTTTTTTTTCCTTTTGAGGGGTTAACTATTTACCCGTTGCTAGGACCCTAACAGGTGCTACCACCCCGGGTCAGGCTGAACCAGGGAACAACAACAATTAAGAGATGGTTCCACGTTCCCCCAAAATGTCCAATCTCCCGATCAGATGCCTTCCTGTCGGATGTAGTCTATCGTCATATCCAGGTCTCGAAATTATAGTAAGTGTTGTAACCTGGTAAGAGTTTACTGAATGAGGTTGGAAATGAAATGGTAATCTTTATAACATCAACAAAATACAATTCTCACCAGCGGCGTGAAGTAGGTAAACCACTCCTAGTGGTGGACTACTTAGACAGTATATTACCCCCACTTAAAATAGCGTCCAACGTATTTATGAGGATTGGGACATATCTATTAATGTTCACAGATACGAAATATAACAGTAAGCTAGAACGTAAGTTTTATAATATTTTCAGCAAATCCCTATATTTTCCTTACCACCAGCAATTAAGACGCGGTTCTACGCCCATCAAACTCTCCTGATAAGGCCTTGCTGTTGAAGGTAATTTATAGTCTTAAAAAGGACGAGGATGTAGTTTATCATCATACCCAGGACACGGATGTAGTTATCGTCATGCCCAGGACATGGATGTAGTTTATCGTTTTACCCAGGACGCGGATGTAGATTATCGTCATAACCGAGACGAAGAATTAGAAAGAGACAGTTGAAATGACACATAATGAGGAAAGAGTGCTTGGAGAATTTGACACTCAAAGGACATACTGAAAGCAAGAGGATCAGAAGAAAATAGTTTAGCGGCATATTTTGAACACAATTTTATGGATTCAACTAATTATATATTTAAAACGCAATTGTGTGCCTTCGGCTACTGATAAAATGTATTGTTGGACAATTTGCAATAAAATTTTATTGGTCTTAGTTTTGCTATAATTATGAGTTGTTGGTAATTTTACTCGAAATAATTATTGTCGGTAAGTTTACTGTAAATATGCATATTTAGAAATTGTTTTTATATAAAAAATGTATTGCTAGTATTTTTACTATAAAAATGCATTTTTATACTTTCACAGTGTTTTGACATTTTTTTGGTAAGGGTTCACTATTTCTTCATAGTTGTGACCCTAGCAGGTGCTACCACCCCGGCTCAGAATGGAACTGGGAACAATAGCTATTAAGAAGTGGTTTTATGCTCCTAAAAACCTCCAATGTCCCAATCAGAGGCATTGCTGCCGGATGTAGTTTATCATCTGGCTAGAAATCTAGCTTTCGATTTTTGCAAATTGATGGTAGAACAACGATTGATTGGAATAGTAAGAGAAGAAACACTGTTTAGGACTAAGAGGAATATAAAGTTATGAAGAGATATAATCACCAGGATATATTACTAACTTCACATAATCTTCTCTATATAAGGTGATACTGTGTTGATGGCAGTTTCAGAAAGCTGACAGAATTTTGTTTTCAGTTTTGTAAAAGAAATGCAAGAAAAAATGGACTATTAACTAACAAAAACATTATTCATAGGTGTCGGCCAAATAGTATGTGTATGTATGTTTGTATGTTTAACGACACATCAACTACTTATGGGTCATTTAATGTTGAAATTTAATTTTCGGGGCAGCTTTGAATTAATCGAAATATATGTTATTCTTCTTTCACAATTGAAAACATGATAGATAATACTCAGGTTTTCTGCATATACATGTTTTGGGGATACGATTACAAGAGGCGGTGATAGGTGTTTTTTTTTATCTTGTAGTTTTGTTTAAGTTATATTTAGGAATACACTTTGAATTCTATTTACATTGTTCGGACTGTTTTTTTCATCTTTGTTGTCATATTTACAAGTTTTTGGACGTTGGACATCGCCCAGTGGAAGAAAGCGTTGGTTGAAGTAATCAAGTGACTTGATCCAAAGAGTTGTGCATTCAATACCTAGCCACAAGTATTGAAAAAAAACTCCACTTGGAGATTTGAGTTACTAAAGGGAAATAAATGGAAATGATATATCCGGAAGAGGCATGGCACGTGGAACTAGAACAATCCCCCCCATACACACCCTGGTGAAGGAAATACAGGTTTCAGTTCGAAATTCCAATCACCTGAAGAAGGCCGGAGAGTAAAACGGCGGAAACGTTGTGAATATGACAATAAAGATGCGCACAACAGTCTGAACAATGAAAACAGTGTAAATAGTTAGAATATCTCATCTCAAAAATATTGACAAAGTTTTATGTCTTTAGGATATATGGATATATATTCTTTCCTCTTGGTTAGTTCATTTTGTTTAATGGCATATCAACACCCCTATGGGTTATTTAATGCTGAAATTTAAATATTTTGAACACAATTTTGTTGCTTCAACTAAATATATTTTGAACACAATTGCATGTCTTCAGTTACAGATAAAATGTTTTGTTGGTCATTCTATAAAATTGTATTTTCATGCTTCCGTAGTGTTTTGTTTTTGCTTTCACTATTTGCCTATAGTTGAGACCCTAACAGTTGCGGGTCAGGGTGAATCTGGTAACAACAGCAATTAAGAAGTGCTTCCATGCTGCTCAAAAACTAATCTTCTTTTATTAGCCATGTTCTTTCAGTATATGAATAATTTTAGCTCTCTATAACTTCCTATAGATTATCTGAGTAAACTGTGATCCTTTTTCATACCTCTTTGACTTTGTTCTGACATCAATTGACAAAAATTCACTCTTTTAATTAGAGTAGAATTTGTGGTCAGTCTCGTTAAAGTCAACAACTAATGCATTTAATGTGTTGTTTTGCAAAATATCTCTTTTTTATTCATATAATCTTTTATTTAAATTCCTTGAGGTTTCTCCTGTGTATTCATTTGGCAATTATTACAGGTGTAGGGATACAAAAAGCAATCGTCTTGCTTTCGTTAAGATAGTCGTGTGATGGCCGGTAAATGACGTCAGGAGATAGAGTGATGAATGGTAGATGCGATGTAGAGGCCGGAGAAAAATGACGCGTCCCTAACCCACAGCGGTAGGTCTTACAAGTAAAAAGCACATGGCTTCACCAGTTTCATACAGAAACCGCTGTAACTCCAGTTTCCTTTCGAGAAATAAGAGAAGGTTCACGATTGTTTAAACACTGTTTGTTGTTGCATATATGTTATAATTTCTTTGGGAGGGACGCGTGTATATATGGAGATATCATTTTGAGTACGACGTAACGTTATAATACTGTCTCTGAAAAAAAAGCATGTTTGTCATTCATTTTTCTTTCAGCCATTCCTTTCTTTCCGTGATGTACGATGTTTATTTTATCATGGATATAATAATGTCTATAATGGGGAAACTTCAACGAGATAATAAACCTTCTTTTTTCATAACTCTCACCTATTATACAGGTAATAAAGTAAATCCCCCCCCCAAGTTTTAGCTTATTTTGTTTTGTATTGATTAATTACGGTATATACTCGCGTATCATGCGACTTTTGAAACCTAATTTTGAAACTAATTTTAAGAGGATCGCATCATAAACGAGATCTGGAATTGGCGTACGGTGGAGTAATAGATAGCGCCTCGGATTGAGGAATCGAAGAGCCGAGTTCGAATTCGTGCCAAATCAATGACATTCACTTACATGCTTGGGAATGGTATTTTTCAAACCCCCAAGCTATGGGTAAATAGCAGCATAGACCGGGTTCTATAGCCTTGGATGGCAACTGATATACCGCAGAAAGAAATGTCAATCTACTGCAGGGAAAAAATCTGCCTCATCATGGCGCATAATGAAGTGCTGGTCCTGGCTACGCCATTTACTATGCAGTCATTTACTATAAGCAAAAAGAACAGCTGTATTTAAAATAAATAGGATTTTGATAAAATTGATGTTTTACTTAACTGTATCCAATAATAATGCATGTAATATTCACATATTAGTATCGTATTATAAAATACAAACAGGGCGAATATGGATTTTTGCCATTGTTTACGTTTAGATGTTTAGCTGTTTCTCGTTCGGTTGTTTATGGCTGTACGTTTAAGTAAGGAGTAGAGCGTTACTAACGATACTTTTATCATTCTCTTTTACTTTTTTAACTTATTTAACTAAAAGATAGGATGAAGAGATAGAGGAAAATTTGCTAATTTGGTCTTTGAAAAAAGGAACTCGCATGATACATGAGATACATTATAAAGTCCTTTTTTTATAAATGAAAATTTGGGAGTCGCCCGATACGCGAGATCGCGCGTTACATGAGTATCGACGGTAATTAGTTGTTTTAAAAGTAGTGATAACAAATGATATTCTTTTCAATTGTAGAGGCAATAGACTTGGTAGGTAGAACAATATATTTCAATATATATATATATATATATATATATATATATATATATATATATATATATATATATATTTTAACTTTAGACATGACGCTCCTAGAATGTCAGTGATTTCTTACTAAGTGTGTCGCAAAACTTTCATGTTCCCTATATTATTTATTTTGAATTATTTCACCTCAAACAAGGCGATAAATCCGCTGAAACGCAAGAGTTTTCTGAGAATAAAATTGAGAAAACGTTAGTGAAGAAAAAGATCAATAAGATAACAGGATTTAGAAAGACACAAGAAAAGACACAGGAAAGTAGAAAGCCAGAAGACTATTTCAACAGCACAAAGATGAGACCTAACAGCCAATCTAATAGTAAATTCATAAATTCTAGGTATCAAAGAGGGAAGCTCATCAGTCGGGGTTTGTTTGACGTGGATGCAAACAGCACTATAATGGCCATATTAAATGGCTTTTGTATTCACTTTCAGGATAATGTTATGTTGTCTTAATTTAATATTAGCCCGACTCCTCTCTGCCCCTGTTTATATAACTCGGATATCATTGAGTAAGAATATTTCAATGATCCTTCCATCTTGTTTCACAATCTTAGAGAAGGTTAATCTTCGGATATTTTGTCTCGATTCATATTTCCCGCGGATGTCTAACGATCCATTGTGTACGGGTGGTGGAAAGAATATCGGTCCCGAAAGAGAAATCGTAGAGACGAGTTCGAATGCCAGTCGAGTTCGTTACATTCACTTATAGCATTAGGAAAAGTATAAATCCATCTCTCCTCCATCTATGGGTTAAATAGTACGACTTGTATTCAATGTTATCTCCAAAAATTGTTGATACAAAAAGAATTATTTTTCCAGTCTGAAATATATTTCGGCTTTAAATAACCCTCAAAAGGTTGATACGTCGTAAAAAAAAAAACAGAAATTAACAATTATAACGTTCTAAGTCCCAATTTTGATTATATATTTGTTGTGGAAGTCAGGGAGAACCTTCTTCGTAAGTTTGAGCTAATGTAAGCTGTGGAGGACCATGATCGGCAACATTATAAAGAAAAAGGGCAAAGAGGAAAAAGTAATAAGGAGTTGCAAGAATACAGATAATGAATGGCTACTCGTTTCCCATCACACCTGTCTGCCAAAATGGTTAGCAAATCCATGTTGCAGATGCCTGCAAAGGCACATTTGTATTTGTTCCGTACCCACAGAGGCCAATTATGACTTATACTGCAACTATGTCGAGTTTATCGTAAATACAGCAGGCGTGAGAGAACGCCTTATCTGACGTAATCAACTAGTATGCGCAAACCCTCGGTCACGATGACTTGTGACGTTGTACTAGCACAGATGTTTGCGTAATTTCACTCATAAGACTTATGTCAACTCGTGATACGGTTTACAAACATTTTCCAATGCTGCTGCAACGCTGGTACAAGCCACTAGTGGCTAATATCAGGAAGTGGTCATCCTGAGAGATCCATCATGCTGAGATTTGAACCCAGCGGCTTATGGTCGTAAATCAATCAACCATTCCGCCAAGAATATAAATAAATGAAGATTGTTATAAGAATGACAATAGGAAAAAATCTTAGTTTTTGCCGACGCGTTTCCTCTTCCGATTTTATCAAGGCAAAATTTAAACGAAATATTTTTGTTTCCATAGTTACATTAAATCCAAAATTCTTAGTAAGCCTCTTTCTGGCTAATGTTAACTCTCTTTTTAAAGTTTGAATTTACTTTAACTATGAAAACAAAAATATTTCGCTTTCATTGTTTGTCTTGATAAAGTCGGAAGACAAAACGAGTCAGCAAAAACTAAGATTTTTTTTCCTATTGTCATTCTTATATCATTTTGTCTTCTCCAAAGAATTGTTCTGGCAATTTTACTATAAAAGAAGATATATAACTAATAGCGATGATGTAGATAAAAGTATGTTTTTTGGGAGTGCAAAAAAAAAAAGAACGATTTTGCTCAGGTGTTCGTATAACCGTCAGTAATTATGAGGACAATTCTGAGGAAACTGAACGAAAAAAGGAAATTTATAAAAAGCCTGATGGAGCAATAGATACGAATAAAAGACAGAAATGTTAAAGTGACTGCAACCAAAAAAAGGAGTTGGCAGCGAAAGAAAATGATAAATACAGAAATAAAAATAAAATGGCTAAAAAAAAAAAAAAAAAAAAAAAAAAAATAGAAAACAGACGAATAAAAAATGTTGAATGAGATTAAGGGGAGAAAATGTGAACAAAGGTCCAGTGGAATAAAGACTGAACAAGAGACAAAGGAATTCCTAGAGTGAACGTCGTTCTCGTAAAGATCTCTGATAAACACGCGTAGAACTGCTGAGTTCCCGCCTCTTGGCAGAGTTATCGTTGTTGGTGCAAAACAAAATTGGTAAAATCGTTCCCGATACCCAGGAATAAATTACAGGTTTGCAACTTGGTACTGTCCGTAACACGTGACAGCAGCGAACATCAACTGGACGGAACAGCGGAAATCTGCCAGCGATTTTTCCCGCCCCTAGCTTTCCTGATGGGTTTTAGCGTCGGAAGAATATGGCGCCGTTGTAAAAAAGAAAAAAAATGTCTTTTTACTTTATTTAGTGCATTTCAACCCAAAAAGGAAAATAAGAAAGAAACGGTGCAAAGAATGAAGAAATGGAAGAAAATATCTTTGGAAGAAAAAAATAACAAGAAGGAAAAATTAATCTAATAAAAGATAATATAAAACGGGAGAAATAGTAATCCTGGATTTGGTGTTCATATGCCTATATTTCTGACATGAGGTATTTCAACTATTTACACTATTTACAATGTCCAGACTATTGTCCTTATCTTTATTGCCATATTCAAGACGTTTCTGCCGTTATACGCACTGGCCTTCTTCAAGATCTGTCTATATTTCTGACATGAGGTATTTCAACTATTTACACTATTTACAATGTCCAGACTATTGTCCTTATCTTTATTGCCATATTCAAGACGTTTCTGCCGTTATACGCACTGGCCTTCTTCAAGATCTGTCTATATTTCTGACATGAGGTATTTCAACTATTTACACTATTTACAATGTCCAGACTATTGTCCTTATCTTTATTGCCATATTCAAGACGTTTCTGCCGTTATACGCACTGGCCTTCTTCAAGATCTGTCTATATTTCTGACATGAGGTATTTCAACTATTTACACTATTTACAATGTCCAGACTATTGTCCCTATCTTTATTGCCATATTCAAGACGTTTCTGCCGTTATACGCACTGGCCTTCTTCAAGATCTGTCTATATTTCTGACATGAGGTATTTCAACTATTTACACTATTTACAATGTCCAGACTATTGTCCTTATCTTTATTGCCATATTCAAGACGTTTCTGCCGTTATACGCACTGGCCTTCTTCAAGATCTGTCTATATTTCTGACATGAGGTATTTCAACTATTTACACTATTTACAATGTCCAGACTATTGTCCTTATCTTTATTGCCATATTCAAGACGTTTCTGCCGTTATACGCACTGGCCTTCTTCAAGATCTGTCTATATTTCTGACATGAGGTATTTCAACTATTTACACTATTTACAATGTCCAGACTATTGTCCTTATCTTTATTGCCATATTCAAGACGTTTCTGCCGTTATACGCACTGGCCTTCTTCAAGATCTGTCTATATTTCTGACATGAGGTATTTCAACTATTTACACTATTTACAATGTCCAGACTATTGTCCTTATCTTTATTGCCATATTCAAGACGTTTCTGCCGTTATACGCACTGGCCTTCTTCAAGATCTGTCTATATTTCTGACATGAGGTATTTCAACTATTTACACTATTTACAAATTTCGTACTAATGTCCTCATATGTCTTGCCAAATTCTCGACGTTTCTGCTGTCGTACGCACCGGCCATCTTCAGGATCTGTCTATATTTCTGAGATGAGGTATTTTAACTATTTACACTATTTACAATGTTCAGACTATTATCCTCATCTTTATTGTCATATTTACGATGGTTCTGTCGTTGTACAGACAGGCCATCTTCAGGATCTGTCTATATTTCTGAGATGAGGTATTTTAACTGTTTACAATGTTCGGACTATTGTCTTCATCTTTCCTACCATATTCACGACATTTCTGCTGTTGTACGCACCGGCCGTCTTCAGGATCTGTCTATATTTCTGAGATCAGAAATTATTACACTATTTACAATGTTCAGTGTATTGTTCTCGTTGTTTTTGACATATTCACAATGTTTCAGCCGTTGTACGATCTGGCCTTCTTCAGAATCTGTCTATATTTCTGATCTGTGATGTAACTATTTACCTATGTTTTTCTTCCTCCAGACTCCATCTACTTAACGTGTTTGTGTGAATAGATCGCTGAAGACGATACAGGTACGAAAGTGACTTAGGACAAAATAAAGTAGGAAGTTGAGGAGAGCCATGATCTCCTACGGGCATAGATCAAGAAGAAGAACAACAACAACAACGACTTCAACAACAACAAAAATCTTTTATAAGTCTATCTCTGTCTTTCTTTTCATTTATTCGCATATATTCAATAATAATAATAATAACAAAATTTCCTTCACATTTTAATTCTTTTAGCCTTAACTTTTTGCTTTATCTACCTAATCTGGCTCATTATAATCTTTAGGTAAGGTCCATACTAAGAATTTGAAAGACATGCATTGATGGGTTAAATAGTTGCAGTATACTAACCTAGAAGGAGTTAATTAAACCAAAGCTGTTGTGATAACGGTAATATTAACTGTTTCCTTACAAGGAAACATTTGGCATTCATTAACCGATCATCATGTGCTTTTCGAGTGGCTGGGATGCATGTGTAGTATCTGTTCGTCTCATCCCTAATGGTAATATCATGCGTTTCTTTATATTTAAACATTCGGCAATCATTGACCGATCGGCCTGTCCTATTCGCGTAACTCTTCTTCAATCTCTGGATATTGAGCTTGGATCCAAGTGTAGTATCTGTTCTCATCTCTAATGTTAATATTAGGCTTTTCCTTATATGTAAGCATTCGGCATTTATTGACGGATCAAATTGTGCTATTTGAGTGAATCTTTTCTTCACTCTCTGGATATTGAGCTGGAATCAACGTGTAGTATCTGTGCTCCTCATCTCTAATGGTAATATTAGATTTCCTTATAAGGAAATATTCAGCATTCATTGACCGATCAGCCTGTGCTATTCAAGTGACTGTTTTCTTCACTCTCTGGATATTGGACTAGAATCCATGTGTAGTATCTGTTCTCCTCATCCCTAATGGTAATATTATGCGTTTCCTTATATGTAAACATTCGGCATTCATTGACCGATCAGCCCGTGCTATTTGAGTGACTCTTTTCTTCACTCTCTGAATATTGCGCTGGGATCCATGTATAGTATCTATTCTCCTCATCTTTAATGCTAATATTAGTCATTTCCTTATAAGGAAACGTTTGGCATTCATTGACCGATCAGCCAGTTAAAATTGATAAAATCTTTCTCTTAAAACAATTTTTCAAGAAAATAGGTTTCTCGTGTTTACTAGCTGTTATCGCTCTTTCCAGTTCTTATGGAGATTTTCCTTCCTAACCTTTTTGCTTGAAGTAGTGTGTAATGTCAATATCTTGATTATGCCATTACTTCCTATTCGAATTACAATTGCCATCTATTTCAGTTGTTGTTGTTGTTAGTGGTCCTCTTTTTTTTTAATTTTTATTTTATTTTTTTTTCGTAATGGTATTTTATTTTAGATATTACTCCTTGCTCGGATATAACCAAGAAGCTTTCGCTTTCATGGGGGTGCCATTGAATTTTTACTCCGTCGGACAAACAAAATTATTACATTCGTTACACAACGATGCAAAAGGAAAAAACTCTGGAAACTGGTAAAACTTGTTGCTCTGCAAGTCGACAAGATTAGTTTTGTATACAAAACGAACAGTGATTTATCAGATTAGCAACATTTGCTATAGGCCATATATAGCGGGGAAGTGTTCGGGATGTGGATACTCTGACAAAAGACCGCACGATCTTCAATTATTTTGCTACATATAAATTGTTGAAAGTGGCTCGCGGATCACACCTTTCGCTTTTAATGTCATCCGTCATTTATAAAATAAAACAATAAAGTTTTATTTTCATATATCAGCAAATGAAGTTGCCAAAAATACAGCCTGCTTTGACGTTTATGTTCGTCCCTGTCAACAAAGACACGCACACAGGCAAAAAGTAGAGGCTAACAAAGAAATATTTGTTTATATTTATTTACTATATAAGTAATATAAAAAGTTTATAAACACGTTTCTGTGTTTTCAGGTATCTATTTTTAAAACGTTTTGGCAGGAGGTATTTATATCCACTTACATAAATGGGTAACCACAGATTTTTCAGTAGGAATATATAGCTGCAGATGAGCGACAGAACTAATTTCAACTCAGAAATAATTTCACCTTAGAACTAATTTCAACTCGAAAATAATTTCAACGCGATTTAAAATCAAAGTTATCAATTTCCGTGATTTTCTAAACAAAATACAATGAGTTGGTGTTAATTTTTTTTAATTTATCAGGTCATCCCATAAGTTCTGTCCGAATTTTGAATAAAGAAAACAAATGATCAAATGTTACATTTAATTACAGATTCAATCAACAATGTATTTTCCCTGATTATCTATGACTTCCTTGCATCTATTAACAAGCTTACTAATTCCATTACTGTAAAATTCTTTTGGCTTTGATTCGAAGAACTCACAAATGTCAGTTTTAACCTCTTCCTGTGTTACAAAAGCTGTTTCTTCCAAATGATTCTGTAAGCTACGAAACAAATGGTAGTCTGAAGGAGCAAGATCGGGAGAATAAGGTGGATGAGCAATTTTCTCACAACCAAGTTCTTCAATCTTTTGTGACTTGATTCTTGCTGTGTGGGGTCACGCATTGTCCTGATGAAACATCACCTCTTTTCGATTCACTAGAGCATGTCTTTTTTCCCTCAAACTTGGTTCAAACGCTCTAATTGCTGACAGTATATTTGAGCATTAATTGTTGCATTAGCTGGTAAGAATTCAAAGTGGATTATTCCTTGGCGATCCCAGCAGATTGAAAGAAGAACCTTTTGCCATGAAGTTCCCTTCTCGGCTGTGGCTGGGGTCCTTCCCCTTTACCAAGCCACTGTCTACGACGCTTAACATTTCGATAAAAGATCTATTTCGTCGCCAGTCAAAGTCTATCCAAAAAAGGTGAAACAAGTTGGCGAGAATGGAGAGAAGAGCAGATGTCAACTCGAGATTCGAGGTTCTTTTCAGACAATTCATGAGGCACCCATTTTCCAAGTTTAGGAACTTTTCCAAGTTGTTGAAAATGACGATGAACAGTTGTATGGTTTGAACTGAGAACCACTGCCAATTCCTCAACTGATAAGGCAGGATTTTCTTCCAGGGCTGCTTCAAGAAGCTTTTCATCAAACTCAACTGGACGTCCGGTTCAGACTTCATCTTCAATGGTGAAATCTCCACCTTTGAATTTTGCAAACCATCTTCTGCAAGTTATTTCATTCACACATTCCTCTCCATAAACTGAGTGAATGTTTCTAGCCGCTTCGGCTGCTGACTTTCCTTTCTTGAACTCATAAAGCATTATGTGCCTCAAATGATTCTTGGGTACTTCTATGTTATCAGGGTTTTAATCAAACAAAATTTAATATTATTG